AAGACACAGAGCCAGTATGGTATGATGATGAACCTAGGTTCAAGTTCACCCTTTTCCCTGGAAGCTGACTTTGGACCAGTCACACTCTCTCAGATCAATATACTTCACGGGATTGTTGTGGGGGAAAAAAAAATGGAGGGGATGTGTGTATATTGGCTTTAGCTCCTGAAGGTGAGATGTAGATAACATGCCTTGCAAACAGTGGTTGGTCACTGCATTTTATTAATCTTTTCCTGCATTGAAATACAGGTAGTTGCTGCTTACCGACCACTTGTTCAGTGGCCAAAGTTACAACAGCACTGAAAAAGGACTGGTCCTTGAAATTGAGGCCATCACAGCATCCTTGTGGTCATGTGATCATGATTCAGGCAATTGGCATGCATTTATGACCGTCGCAGTGTCCTGTGGTCATGTGATCACCATTTGCAACCTTCACAGGTGGCTTCCAACAAGCAAAGTCAATGGGAAAGCCAGCAGGAGGTTGCAAGTGGTCATCACATGATATCGAACTTAACAACCCTCAGCAACGCGCTTAACAACTACAGCTGGAACTGACGCCACAAGTCGGGTGCGGTCACATGACATTTCACTTTATGTCTGCGTCACTTAGTGACAGAGTTGCTGGTCCCAATTGCGGTAGGTGAGGACTACCTGTAACTTTGATAATGGATATGTAAGCCAATATTATACTGAAAATTCCACAATTTATCCCAAATGCCCTTCAAATAGCCAAAGCTGCTATTTATGACAAAATGGGCTTGCATCCAATTGCATGGTGGTGTAATAGTGAATTTTAAACATGTATTTATAAATGTTTGTGGTCAATGCTTACTTTCAACATAGGGCCTGGACAAATGTTAATTAAATGGAACAAACCCATTACAACTTTTCCCATTTCTCCCATTTCTCATCTATTCCCTTTAAGAATGAGAACATTTTTTTTAAAAAAAGCTTCATTTTTATTGAAAAAATGTTAAAATAAATTACATTTTATAAAGTCTAATATTTACATACAGTGATTCCAGTGACAAATTAACAAAAAAGAACTGATCAAAAAAACCTTGTATCTCTTTATGTGATGGAGTGACAGAGATGAGTTCAAGATGAGTCAAACTGCTAGGCAACATTTATGATCAATAGGAGTCTTATGTATTGCTTTTTATTTCCAATTAAAGCAAGATGCAAAGAGTAACATCCTATAAACAAAAGTGATAAATCAGGCCACATTTAGGGATACAAGACAACAATAAGAATGCGCTGTGGTTTTATTATGTTTTGATAGATCCATTGCCAGCAATGGAGTTAATCATATCTGCAAAGAGAGGGCACTTTTCAACTTTTTTCATTCTTGCTTAACAATACTTTACTCTGTTCATTCGATGGCCCACTTTTAAACAGGCATGAGTGGTATAGTGCTTTACATAAACCTGTCACAGAAACTGAGTCAGAATTGTATTAAATATACTCAGAACAGTAAGAGTAGTTTTCTATTTTTTACCACTTTTACCATATAATTATTGAAAACAACTCCAGGAAATACTACCAGGGTTGATTAATTCTTGTCAGGGGAAAATTTTACTGAGTCAAAGGAAGACCAGTCGATCATCTCATTGCTTCAACTTCTGAAACAATCTTATTTTCCAATAACAGTTATAAAGCTTAGCTAACCAGGTTCTCAGTTTTTCTGATCCAGCTCACAATATTGGTTATGGGGCAAAACAAGAACAAAAAACAAGAAAAAGCAGCAGTATTAAGGCTTCATGATCCACAATTTATAGAGATAACTGGGAAGAACCCTCCCTTTTGTTTTGAAACACATGAATAATATTGACGCTCTGGTGCTTTTGATGGTTAGCAACAATCTCTCTTTTTAAATGCCTTCTGAAAACAACATTATATAACATGAGCCCAAAGCTAAGCTGGTTAGCTTTGTTAAACTGTATAACCCCCCCAATAAAAAACAGTAGTGGTCTGCAAACCTTACATTCCAGGGTGTTTCATATTATGCAAATTCTTCCCAAAATGTAGCCAAGAAGCCAGAGAATCAAAGGCACTTCAAATGCTATTGAACTTCCCCCATGAATCAATGCTTCTTTTAATAGTTACTTCATCAAATTCCACAGTCAGAACAAGAACTGTCTCCCCTGTCATCATCTTTCATTTATTTATTGGTCTGGGGCCATAAATAAAGACTCAGAATGAAACGACTAGTTTCCTTTAACACACCGAAAACAATCAGAATGGCAAGGAGGATCAGTTCTCTAACAGGTCCAAGCTACCACCATATAATGCCCGCTGGAAAACTGTACTCAAGGATAAAGGGCAATTGAACATATGATGCAGCTAATAAAGCTTTTCATGCACCTTTGTGCTAGTCACAGTGAGATACAGTAAGTACATTTTGTAATTTCACCTGTAGCAAGGCACAAAATGGAATTATTAAGAATTAAGGCTCTTATCAGCGGTCCAAGTGCTTGGAATAAATCTCCACTAATATTAATGAGATCTTCTCCCAAACATCAGGTGGAAAATCAAAGCCTAACTATCAATTTTATCTTGATTTCAAATTTAAAAATATGAAATTTATTTGACAGCTAGACAAGTCCCTAAAATTTTGGGGCATTTTTAAAGGAAGGTGTTAATAGCCTCTATATCAAACCTAAAGAGCAGCACCAAGCCTGAATTTTAGAAAGGACCTTATCTCTAGATGCAGAGCTGTTTCAAACTTGTATCATTTCATATCTGTCTGCCTGTGCAATCCAGCACATAAACAATGCAATGCAACAGTCACACCAAAAGCAGCAACGTACACTTATCATACACTCTCTTTTCTGCTCCTATACTATATTTAAACTGCCGTAAAACATTAATAACATTCATTTTACACATCATTGTGTACTTCTTTAGTGCAGAGACAAACCTTTCAGCCATTCATTTATGAAATATATCCAAGAATACAACATCAGCTTTACAAAGTTACCTTTAGGAAAGCTAGATATACTTTTGTCACATAGACATGGCACTAGTAGTACTCATTACGAAGAACCACCCAGTTAGAAATGTAACTGCAAGCCAGCACCTCTGGCTCTTTGAGCCTTTTGATGTTAAAGATGGTTTTACTGTATAGCAGTAAAAATCAACCTTCTCTTTCAAGGAGCTATCTAGTCAAATAGCTACCAAGTTTTTGAGAGCAACAATAGCCTCCTGAGCTAGAATTCAGCAATGGCTAAAATAATTATACAATCCATAGGGTAACACTGGCACATTCAATGAAATAACTGTATGAAAATACAACTGTTTGGGTTACCTGTTCATCAAGTTTCTGCAAACACTTCTACCCAGACTGTACACAGTTCCTAACAGGAATAGACCTTTTTTTTCAGCAAATATTTTAAAACTGTCTTTTCAAGAAGAGTTTACTAACAGGAGTGCATGGCTAGTCAGAGACATGTTTCTAAAGAGAATAGAATTCATCCACTCTCAACACAGAGGTCAACATTATAGTATATGAGTGGATTTGAATGTACCTTATTATTCACAATTAGTACTGCAAAGTTCCAATTGGCCTGTCCTACCATTTTAAATTCAGAAATCCTCTCCCCAAGTTTTCACTAGCCATAATTTTCAATCCACTTCCAGATTGAAGCACAGAACTATAACAGAAAGGTTTACACTGGAGTGACTTACAACTAAATCATCCAAGCAACTTTAGTACTTACACTGCTAGAATATTTTTGAGAATTGTTTTTCAGCGGAAAGTTACAAATTATAGGCAGTTTTCTACTTCAAAAATAATCCCAATTAATTGTGTCAGTTTTGTAGCAATATAAAAAGATAGATCAATTTTAATATGATAATTACATTTTGTTGCTTCTGCAACTTCTCATACTACGTCTCTTGTGTTAAGGGAGTTCATTAAAAATAAGCTAACACTTCAGTTTATTTAGAAAGCCAACTGAAATACTACAACAGTATTTCAGCTCATAACAAAATATTACCTATTCTAAAGTACCGGATGGAGTGGAGAACTTTATAGAAATGGAGCCACTGTAGTTATTATATCCTTCAGATGGAACTTCAGCTATTCAGACACTGATTCAAAAGCAGAGTTCCTTTAAACTTCATTTAGACCTATAAATGAAGTTCATTCAAGTATTTCCTCTAGAGTACAGATGGTGAAAGGGCACTTCTGATGCAAAAGAGGTTTGTCACTGTGCTTTTCTTCATTTTTAAACTTGTCCTCTATGTATCTTCTTGCACCATTCTGTTTTACTGTATTTCAAACATCAGTTATATGTGCTTTTCATGAACACCAGAAGCATTTGGAAATATTTAGTTTCTTGTATACACAAGATCCATATTTCCAGTAGACTGATCCTGTGTTTCAAGTTAGTATTTTTGTTCATGAACTTCAGCTCATAATTCAACAAAGCTAGTTTAACTTGATTAGACACTATTCAAGTCACCCATGTATCTCAACTCTGGCCTTCAGAATACTCTGCTCTTCCAGTTCAAGCATCCCTTAAAGGAGAATGAAGAGAGTTTTGTGGTGTGACTGATAAATCTATCAACAATTTCGGTTCTGAACCTCAGCATGATTTGTATTCAGTTTCTTCAGAGCTGAAGAGTTAGTGCAGTAATCCAAGGCAATCATGGCCTGCAATCAACCCAAACCAGTCTGACTGCAATCTTAAGAGCTTTACTCCAGCATGGAAGGAAGGAAGGAAGGAAGGAAGGAAGGAAGGAAGGAAGGAAGGAAG